GATGGGTTGTCCTCGGTGTGTGGGTGACGTGCCTGAAGGAAGACCCCTGACGGCGGTTCTGAAGAAATGTTCTGAACAAAACTTAGAATGTCTTGCCTGAGCTGGCGAACATAGCTTTGGAAGCTTCTTTTCTACAGGCTGAACTATTTTTGACATATATTTCTGGACGAGGCCTTTTAAGTGCCTCTCGGTTTTTGTTGTGCACGCTATTTTGAGGGGGGGTGGGGGGGGGGGGGGGTGGGCAGTGCAGTGAAAACTGTCGAATCCACCCCGAAATTTCGTTAGCAAACGTCGCTTACTACTTGGTCGTTACTTATTCGTTACTTATTGGTTACTTACTACAATTCGTCACTTACTACTCAGCCCGCTTTCTTCTCAAAACGAGGGGAAGGGCTGGATCCCGAACTGAATATAAAACCGGATCCGGGATCTGTCTTATTACAGTGACGGACAAGGTTGAACCTTTGAGAACTCACGACTGTCCGGAGCTATGTAAACAGTCGACTCAAAGTGCTGGAGATACTTCCGCGCGCGCGCGTGGCGTTTCCTCGTCTTGCATTTACTCCACAATAACAAATGTTGTTGACGCGGCGAAGTCGCTTCCAACCTGCGCCTGAGCGAGGATTCACACAATGGATTCTACTAATTAGCCGTCGGAATGCGGGCTCTGCCATCAGACGCTAATAGGCCGGACAACGGCCGGAGGCCCTGACGCGATGCGGGTCGGGATCAGCCACCGGGCGCCGCGCTTCCCACGGGGCGAGCCGGCTCTGCGGCGGAGCAGCCGGCCGCTCGTGCCGAGACGAATCGCGCCGCCAACAATAGCCGCCTGATTGACCCCCGGCGTCGCGCCGCGCCGCGCTGCTCCAGATTGATGACTCCCTAATGAAGTGTCGGCCGGCTATTTGTGGGACCGCTGTGACGCCTCAATGGGGTGTACGCGGCGGCTGCGGGCGGCGCGCGGACACCGGAAGAGTCGCGACGAGGATCGGTGAAACGTGGTGGGAACGGCAGTTCAGTGCTCGCTCCGAGGTGGAGAGAATGCACCGGCGTGGCTCGCGAGACCCGCCGTCTGGCGGCTCTGATGATCGGCTTTGGTTCGTGAGAGAGCTAATAAAATGATTTTCCGCATCGGAGTTGGTTGGATGCCCACAGGACACTTATCCAAGGCAGTGGTAATGTGATAATGGACACAAACCACTGAGTTGTATGCACTTATCCAAGGCAGTGGTAATGTGATGGTGGTCACAAACCACTGAGTTGTATACACTTCTCCGAGCCAGTGGTAGTGTGATGGTGGTCACAAACCTCTGAGTTGTATACACTTATCCGAGCCAGTGGTAGTGTGATGGTGGTCACAAACCTCTGAGTTGTATACACTTATCCGAGCCAGTGGTAGTGTGATGATGGACACAAACCACTGAGTTGTATACACTTATCCAAGGCAGTGATAATGTGATGATGGACACAAACCACTGGGCTGTATACACTTATCCAAGGCAGTGGTAATGTGATGATGGACACAAACCACTGGGCTGTAGACACTTATCCAAGGCAGTGGTAATGTGATGATGGACACAAACCACTGAGTTGTATACACTTATCCAAGACAGTGGTAATGCGATGGTGGACACAAACCACTGAGTTGCATACACTTATCCAAGGCAGTGGTAGTGTGATGATGGACACAAACCACTGAGTTGTATGCACTTATCCAAGGCGGTGGTAGTGTGATGATGGACACAAACCACTGAGTTGTATACACTTATCCATGACAGTGGCAATGTGATGATGGACACAAACCACTGAGCTGTAGACACTTATACAAGGCAGTGGTAATGTGATGATGGACACAAACCGCTGAGTTGCATGCAATGTAGCGTGTGCCTGTATGCGCCTCTGAGCTGAGTTATGCTTTTGAATAGGCTCTGACTGCCTGTCATTTCAACACATTGAACGCCATACTTGTCTGATACTCTAACTGTGCAGGCCGGCGAGTTTAGGAGTTCCACCTGCGACAACTTGCCTTGCATGGCCGTCTGTCTCCTTCGAGAGAATATGTTTTATTACACCGCCGACTATTTATCACGGCATAGCTGTCGCTTGTCCGGCTCGCAGTCGCTGCCCCCGCGAGAGCGCCCGGGCGGTCGAACGACCACCACAAGCGGCGTTTTCTCCGGCAGTTGTTTGTCAGGCGCGCGGCTCGTTTGTCTCCGGCGCCGGGGCCTCCGCGCCGCCGGCGCCGCTCGGGTCGCACCCCGGCCGGCCGTCGGCGCCGGTCGTGCGCGCCGCGCTCGCGTGCGGCGACGCCTCACAAGCGGCCCGCTCTCGTCGCGGCGTCACGTGACGCCGTCGGCTGACGTGCGCGGGCCGCTGACAAGTGGCGGAGGGCTCGCGTGACGCGTGCCCCCGAACGGACTGGCGTGACGCCGCTGATGATGGGAACGATCGGCTGCGTGCTCGCGCGGTTTGTCGCGGCGTGTGCGGCCGTCGTTTCTGGCAGCGGTATGCCTGGATCGGATACTTAAAAACATGACCGATCTACCTTTGGAAAAGGTCGAAACACAATGTTGCTATGAGTAGCGGCGTAATGTCAACTTAGTTAATGAAGGTCCATGCCGATGCCGCCGTCAGTTGAGATAAAAAGTGACCATCCCCGGGTTGGTAAACTAACGCATGGCTTTGGACAGATGCACCCACTTTTCGACCTATCATTTGATCAACTGCGCACTTTGCGCTGGTCTTTTTTGTCCACCTGTTCCAGGTCAGGACACAGGTAAGGGGTTTGCGCGGCGGCTCGTGCTGCTCCATTCCACAGACGGGGACTCGTGGTCTGAGTCCTTGCTCGAGATGGTTTTGAAGTCGTCCGTCTGCTGGTGGCGTGCGGAGTGCCAGCCGAGCTCAGTCGTACTTGATGAGGTCATATCTGTCACTGACAGGGTCATATGAGTTCACATGTCACCAGCGGAGGGTCATGTGAGGTCGCCTAAAGTGTGTAGATTCAAGATAATTGTGTCCCCCGTTTGCGACAAGAAATCGGTAAAACCAGAACCAATGCATTTTACGAACCGTTGACTGGTGTTAAGGGCATCGTAGGTCACTTAAGGCCGTGAACCTCAGAAGAACAAAAAGTTTGTTTTCAAGGCAGTGAGTCGCCCGCGACCTGATTTGGCCTTAGTCGGGCTTATTTATGATTTACCGCCCTCGTAAATGTTACGTAAGTTCCGTGTAAAACATTTAGGAAACGTTTAAGACTTTTGACACGTGCTGGAAAGTTCCAGTTCCAAAAAAACTGAACATTTAAAGGTGTTTTTCACGTGGAATGTGACGTCATATGTTTTGTGACAACACAACAAAACGTTCCCTGGCTTTGATCAGGGCTATTAATTGTTGCCTAATGTTACCAAATCCGGCAGTTTATGCCGAGATAGTGAGGGAAGGTAAGAGTATCCCTCAGGCTGTCGCGGCGGTCGGTGAATCCGCCACTCGGTGCTTTACCCCCCCCCCCCCCCCCCTGTCTGTCAGCGCAGCTCGTCGGACCCGACGGAGCTTTCTGTCGTCTTCTGCTGCCGACAGCGGCTGCTCTGGTACGGAGCGAGGCGTGGGTACACTGTCCCAGCTCGGAGCTCAGCACCAATGAAGGGTAGCGTGGGCACACCTTCGGCGCCAACGAGGGGGCCAGCACCAATGAGGGGCCGCGTGGGTGCACCTCCGGCACCAGCGAGTACTCCGGAGTACAGCGAGTACAGGTGCAACTCCGGCACCAGCCCAGTATCCACGAGTCGCGGCGGATGAGTCAGCGGCGCGCCGGCCGTGCCGCCGTCACGGCCAGCAGGCCGCGGCGGCTCATGGCTCGTGGCCGCTCGTGTCGGAACTCCGCTCTCGGGCCCGGACGGGCTGCGCTCAATCGACCGAGGCTAGGGTGAGCAGCGGCGGCCGTGGTCTTCCGAGCGCTGCTGTTCCGCCGATGGGCTCGTGGGGCGTGTCGGCGCAATGCAGACCCGGAGTCGGTGCACTCTCCAGCCCAAAGCTTTGTTGTTAAATTTCCGGGGTCACTGCCTGACCTTTGAGCTTTGGTCCATGATGCAGCATCGTCTCAGTGACGCAAGAGCGTGTTCAACTCTCTGGCTCATGCTCATGTCCTCTGGCTCAATTAACCTCTTCAACGTCCACCACCTCACATCAGCCGCTCCCTACCCATCCAGCGTCCTCTTTAGATCTGCCTCTCGCCCTCACGGGCCGTCCCGCCGGCGAGGGTCCGTCACGCAGCCGGCCGCCTCTCGCCCTCCAGCAGCGCCTGCCTCGATGGGCCGCGTCGCCTCGCGCTCTCCGCCGGACGCGGACGCGGCGGCAGATCCCCGCGAGCCCGCGGCGCCGGCCGCCGCCGCCACTGCGAGCCGCCCTTCAGTCGTGACCGCTCAGGCGGCTCGGTCGCACGCGCGCGAGCGCCTCCCGCCCGGCCAGCCGGCGCCGCCGCCTCGCGCACGGTGGACGGACGGGACGAGCGGGGAGACGGCGCGGGTTGAGAAGCCTTCTTCGCGGCGAGAGGCGAGACGCCGGTGGGGAGGGGACCGCCCAGCCGACAGCCGGGCGGAAGGTGAAACGCGTCCGGTGCGCGCCGCCACCGCCGCCGCCGGCGTGAAAACGACGCGGGAGTTGGGCCGCCGACGTCACGGCTGCAGGCAGCTCGCGCGGTGGCAGACCGCCGCCACCGAAAACTCCTCTTCCGGAGACCGCCGCCGCCGGAGACTCCTCTGGAGACCGTCGCCGCCGGAGACTGCTCCTCTGGAGACTGTCGCCGCCGGAGACTGCTCCCCTGGAGACTGTCGCCGCCGGAGACTCCTCCTCTGGAGACCGCCGCCGCCGGAGACTGCTCCCCTGGAGACTGTCGCCGCCGGAGACTCCTCCTCTGGAGACCGCCGCCGCCGGAGACTGCTCCCCTGGAGACTGTCGCCGCCGGAGACTCCTCCTCTGGAGACCGTCGCCGCCGGAGACTGCTCCTCTGGAGACTGTCGCCGCTGGCGAGTCGTCCTCTTCTCGGGGGCGTGCAGCGTGAGAGCTGGACCGACGCTCAGCTGCTGTCGAGAACTCCGCCCTGCGTGTAGACGACCGGCGCCGTGTCCCCGGACGGGGAGCCGGCGACTGAGGCTCACCAGGAGCGCTGGTCGGAAGCTGTCCGCGCGTGCGCGACCCGCGGCCGCCTCGCGCGCCGCGGCGCTGGGACGTTGCTGTGGTGAATGGACACCGTGCTGCCGCTCCGCCGTCGGATGGGCTTCTCCGGTGGTCTCGACTGATGACCGAAACCGTTGATCGCTGCTGGCGATCCCGGCTAGTGACCGTGACCGGAGATCGCTGCTGGTGATCTCGACTGGTGATCGAGACCGGGGGTCTCTGCTGGTGATCCCGGCTGGTGACCGTGACTGGGGATCGCTGCTGGTGACCCCGGCTGGTGACTGCGCCCCGGTGGCGTGGAGACCTGGACGCTCGCTCCCGGTCCGGAGGCGGCGATGGTGGCGATCGCCTCCAGCGGCGACCCTGACACGTGAGTGCACCGCCAAACCGTCCTATCCCCGCCCTGGATGTAAGCTATTGGTTTGTCGGCATAATGAGCTCAAAGTTCTCGTGCTGACAAGCATGGAATTTTAATTTTAAAAGGAATTTTAAAAGGTGAGAGGACATTATCTTGGAGCATTTGGATGGAGCTTTGCCCAATTAAAAAAAAATGCAACAGGAGAGTGACGTAGAGCTGGCATGTAGGGAGCGGAGATGACGCAGACTGGATGCACGGATGTTCAGTCACATGTATGGGCGTCGTGCTTTGATCATATGGTACATATGAGAGCGCATTCGCGTTAAGGCCGTGCCACGTCCTTGCGATAGGGCCTACCTGTTGATCATACCTATTTGTGTTTATGCAACAAGAGCTGACGTGCTCGATGCCATTTGCGATGGTTAGGTTCCACTTCGTGGTTCGAGTCACGTTGGACGTTGTCAAATTTGGTAAATGATAGCTTTATCACAGCCGACCTTATTTACCAGCCTGCTTTTGACGCCTATTTGAGACGACAGCATGCTCAGTACTCAGCGCACGGACGCTGGGAATGCGTTGTGAGTTCCACACCTCGCGAGTCACACTCAGCTGACGTCTGACGCCTGCGCGCTGCATAGATGGTTCTCTCAGGGTTCGCCTTCCTCGACGCGCACGCCGAATGCCGGCTTCAGTGTGCGGTCTGCCCCGGCTTGTCAGCAGTCTGGTCCGAGCTACACGTGGTGCCCCAGGCTCGAGCACCGCAGCGCGGGCGCGGAGTCCGCTGGAGTCTCGCAGTCAGTAGTCTGGCCCGAACTGCACGTGGTGCCCCAGGCTCGGGCACCGGAGCGCGGGTGCGGGGTCCGCTGGGGTCTCGCGGTCAGCAGTGTGTGGGGCGCGACGGCGTGCGGCGGCCCACCTCATCAGCTGGCGAACCTGAACCGCGATGACCCGCGGCATCAGCTCCCGTCGGCTTCCGCGAAGAGACTGGTGGATCTGGACGCAGTGACCTATGAGGTGCACTTAGCATCGTTGGAATAGACAAATGGTCCGCTGGGGGCAATTTCACTGCCTCCCGATGGATTTATGACGTCATTATCCTCGGCAGGCGTTTCCGCAGAGTGAAATTTCGTGCCAACGTGATGGCGCTCTGGGTCCGAGTGGACCCATTCCAACTTTTTTGAACAGCCGTATATGTGAATTTGCTGTTAATCATTGCGTTGCTCGGGGCAGGCGACGCCTTTTGAATATTTTCCGGCTTGCATTACAGGCTGGGACATTCTGTCCCCGAATGATCAGTGACCAACTCAGGATACGAGAGCCGTCGGTGATGCATGCACCTGTTGACACGTTGACCTGTTGACCTGATGGCACGGCCTGACGCCTGCCAGCGTGCGGCGACCGGCGCTGTGGACGATGAGCTTGCCGCGGCGACTTCCCGGCGTTCGCCACCGACCTCGGCAGGCTTGGTTTTGGTAGCGATACGCCTAAAGCGCCACCCTTGCACGTCCATCTGGACGAGGGGCCGAGTTTGTAAGCATAACCTGTGCAGTAATAGCAGGCTTTCAATCGCCGTACGACGTCGCGGTCGCATGGGGTCATGCGGGTCAATGTTTCCACTAAGAACATCAGAGTGGTCATCGTAGAAACAACTTTATAAATAAGAGAAGATAAGGTAAATCCCACGTTCACTTATGCAAGTAAGAAGAGCCTTCAGCTCCCCGTTTCTTGCCAGTGTCAGTGAGGCTTCTTACTCTGAGTTATCGACCTTCTCAATGCCAGGAGACAATGGTTACACGACGTTATAGGGCAATCACTGGTTGCAGTTCCAGCATTCGACGTTTCGATCACGATTTCTTTAACTTTTCGTATTTTTAAAAACAGTACGAACGCCTGTAACTTACTACGTAACACCACTCCTCGGGCACGCGTGATGTGCACATAAACTAAGGTCAGACCGCCGAGAAGTCCCGCGCTCATGACCTTTTAGCCACAGGTCAAGTTGCAGCATCTGACAAATGATACGACTCCCCTGTGTGTAGACATTTTGTGTATATATATATATATATATATATATATATATATATATATATATATATATATATACGCCGCCCCGTTACGCTTTGCCACACAAGAAGCCGAGACGGACGGGTCATCACGGCCGGCCGGTCCTCGGACCTCACACGGATTGCCGCCACTCCCAAGCACGGGAGCGACGGCGTATGCATCACACGGCCATGAATAGCAAGTGACCGCGTGGAGCTACGACTGACCGGGGCCCGGGCGGTGTGCTTCGGCCGACGGGCGGCACCCTGGCCTGACGACCCCAGGATTTGATCTGCGCCGGTGGCCCCCGAGGCGGCCGTAAAGGAGATTCGGGTGGATTTGTGGGTGTTGTGAATCCTCTGGTGGGACAGCAGGCGTAGTTTCGGTGAATTGAACCTCAGGAAGTGTACGGAGCTCCCCAAGTCATCCGGCGAGCAGCCTATTGCCTCGCGATCCTCTCGTGCGTCATGGATGTTCTGCTTTTCCTCAAGGGCTGCTTAACTTTTGCGTGTAGCTCTTGTGCTATTGAGCCTAAGCGTCGTTCTTAATGACTGAGTACACATCTGGCCCAGTGACGTCAGTGACGAACCGCGGCGCCCCAGCTGCGCGCCTCCTCACGGCACACCGCCAGTCTGGAAACGGTTTCTGTGCACCTGCTTGCAGCTGGGCGGTCCGATCCCATGGCCGGCCACGCTTCGTTGCACCAGCATTCCACCGGTCACCTCCGTGGCCGGTGAGCTGATCAGCGCCGCACGGCCGACCGAGCTGGCCGTGATCAGCGGCCCACGGCCGACCGAGCTGGCCGTGATCAGTGGCCCACGGCCGACCGAGCTGGCCGTGATCAGTGGCCCGCGGCCAACCGAGCTGGCCGTGATCAGTGGCCTGCGGCCAACCGAGCTGGCCGTGATCAGTGGCCCACGGCCGACCGAGCTGGCCGTGATCAGTGACCCGCGGCCAACCGAGCTGGCCGTGATCAGCGGCCCGCGGCCGACCGAGCTGGCCGTGATCAGTGGCCCACGGCCGACCGAGCTGGCCGTGATCAGCGGCCCGCGGCCGACCGAGCTGGCCGTGATCAGCGGCCCGCGGCCGACCGAGCTGGCCGTGATCAGCGGCCCGCGGCCGACCGAGCTGGCCGTGATCAGTGGCCCGCGGCCAACCGAGCTGGCCGTGATCAGTGGCCCGCGGCCAACCGAGCTGGCCGTGATCAGCGGCCCGCGGCCGACCGAGCTGGCCGTGATTAGCGGCCCACAGCCGACCGAGCCGGCCGTGATCAGCGGCCCACGGCCGACCGAGCTGGCCGTGGTCAGCGGCCCACGGCCGACCGAGCTGGCCGTGACCGCCGGCGGTCAGCTGGCGTGTGTGTCCACGCGCTGCGGTCGGTGGAGATAGGTGCCAGACGGTCAGAACGGGGTGCTTCAGTCCTGGCCTGGCGCTGGGGCGGCGGCCCTAGGTGGTCCTACGGCCGCTGTATCGTGCTGTTCTCGCTGATCCCGTACAGTCCATTAACTGCCCTTCGTTTTCCGTGACGTCAATGTTTTTAACGCGATTAAAGTAGTAGTGTTTCTCATCAATGCGTTGAGGGGCTGGCGGAGGGGGAAAAGGTAGATTTACATGGGATACACTGCTGCGAAAATCAGAGATATCGGAGAGCGCTGTGCAAGCCTCATGTTTGGCCATTTTGGTCGTCCAATCTGTCTTGAAAGCGGTGTGCGCCGGCCGGCACTTTTCGTCGCATGACCTCGGCACATGCCGCATGTGAACGTCCTGTCCCCGTGTGTGCTGATTCCGGGGCGAGCGTGCCTCCCCTCCCCGGTCCTCTCCTGCACGGCTGCCGTGCCCGGGGTTGGCCCCGTTCCGGTTCACCGCCTACCGGCCGTCCCCGCGCAGCTCCGCAATTGTTGTGCTGCCCGACCGTTCTTCCGGGTCAGCCCCGCAGAGGTAATCGCTGGGCGGGCTCCTCTGGCCGGAGCGGCCCTGCCGACGGTCCTCCGGGTCAGCCCCGCAGAGGTCATCGCTGGGCGGGCTCCTCTGACCGGAGCGGCCCTACCGACGGTCCTCCGAGGTCAGCCCCGCAAAGGTCACGGCCGGGCGGGCTTCTCGGACCGGTGCGGCCCCACCGACGGTCCTCCGGGGTCAGCCCCGCAGAGGCCACGGCTGGGCGGGCTCCTTTAACCGGAGCGGCCCTACCGACGGTCCGCCGGGGTCAGCCCCGCAGAGGTCACGGCTGGGCGGGTTTCTCGGACTAGAGCAGCCCTGCCTACGGTCCGCCGGGGCGTTAATCCCGGTGTGGGCCAGTGGCTGCCGAGGTCAGCTCTCTGGAAGCTGGCTCTCCAGAGGCCAGATTTGCCGTGACCACTGCTGCCGAGGTCAGCTCTCTGGAAGCTGGCTCTCCAGAGGGCAGATTTGCCGGGACCGCTGATGCCGAGGTCAACTCTCTGGAAGCTGGCTCTCCAGAGGGCAGATTTGCCGGGACCGCTGCTGCCGAGGTCAGCTCTCTGGAAGCTGGGTCTCCGGAGGTCAGATTTGCCGTGACCGCTGCTGCCGAGGTCAGCTCTCTGGAAGCTGGCTCTCCAGAGGCCAGATTTGCCGTGACCGCTGCTGCTGAGCTCCCTCGCTTCTTCAGCGGTCGGCTGTTAAAGGTCGGCCCTGTAAAGGGCAGCTGGTGGAGGCGTCAGCTGTTCTCAGCTGGTGACGTCAGCTGCGTCAGCTGCCAGCTCTACTGAAGGCACATTAGTCGCCTTACTCTGTCAGGAATTGACTGCCTCTCTGTTGGCCGTCTCCGCGGTGACCTCTGGCCTCTGTTCGGCTGCGGGCGGCGCCTGGTCTGGGAACAGTTGCCATGGAACGCTCCCAATGTGGTCCAGTCAGGCATCCAGCATGCAGTCTTATCGTCAATAATTTGTTGCGTATGGTGAACGGTAGCCGGGTGGCGGCGCGCAGCCGGCTGAACGACTGCGCTTTTTTCCCTC